CAGCCGCCGGCCGCCGGAGGCAGAGCAACAGAGGCCATCTGCCGCAGCAGGCGGGAGCGGGCCCTCCGCCTCCCCGCCCTCCCTCCGGCTTCCCTCCCCAGGGAGCCCCGCGCACGCCCGCACGCACAAGCTCAAGGCACTACCCCGGCATCCGGAAAGACAGAAACCCCTTCTCGGAGGCCGCCTCCTCCTCCTCCTTCCTCGCGAGCATCCCCGCGCGCCCCGCGGAGACCCGTGGACTTGGAGGTCCCGCCGCGCCGGGACTCCCCGGGAGCGACCGAGCGCCGGCTACTGCGCCTACCGGGCACGCCACTCACTTGCTGGCCCGCGCGGGGCTTGCCCTGGGGCGCTCTCCTGAAGAAGGAGGTCCTGGCGGTGAAGAAGAAGTCCTCGGCGTCCTCCTCCAGGCTGCTGTAGCCGCTGCTCATGCTGCTGGTCCCGTCGCGCGCGGGCCGCCTCCCCGGGGCGCTGGCGGCCAGGCAGGGGGTGTCGCGCCCGCCCGCCCCGCGAGGTTCCCGGCGCGCGGCCCCGAGCCGCCGGCGGGCCGTCCTGCTGCAGCTGCGGCCGCCGCTCAATTCGGCCGTCCGCCCCACTCCTGCCGCCTCCCGGCTTCCCGGCCCGATTCTGGGCGCGGCTGGGGCCCTGAAGCTCCCTGCGACCCCGCCCCTGGAGCCCCGCCCCGAAAGGGCAGGGACGCTCCCCACGCGGCTTGGGCACTCCCAGCGCTGCCGCAGGTGGGGGCGGCGCAGCCGGCCTGTTCCAGGAGTGCTGCTCTTCCCTAGCTGTATTTGGGGAACCCCGGGAGCCCCGCCACGATGGCTGCGTCTGTGCTCCCGGTCGCTTCCCCAGCCTCCTGGATCCCGCCAATTCCTCTGAGATCGGTCCACCCGCCCCACGCCCGGCTAACTCGGGTTTGGGGGAGGGCCCAAGCAGAGCAGGGAAATTTCTCCGCTGTCCCCGCACTGCTCGCCCCTTTTCGGGGTCCAGCTGGTGGCAGTGGAGATTGCCCGGCCGAGGGACACACACACACACACACACACACACACACACACACACACACACACCAAGACCCTCAGGCGTCCCGCAGCCGTTTCGCCCCGTCCTGAACTCCGGCAACTCGGCCCTCCAGTAGGGTTAAAAGTTAGTTGAGACGAATGGGGAGGTAACGACTGGCTTGAGTTTATTCAAATGAAAACATCCTTTCCGGAAATTCAGTTGAGCTTCGGTCTTTCCCTCTTGCCCTTCTTTCTAGTGAGGGTTCGTTCCCAGATAAGAACCTCCAAGGTCATTACTCGCCCTTCTTTCTAGTGAGGGTTCGTTCCCAGATAAGGACCTCCAAGGTCATTACGATCTTTGAGGCCACTTGGTGCGAAGGGGGGTGAACTAGTTCGGCAGTTCGAGTACATATTAATTAAACGTGCTTTTTAAATGTCCCCTTCCACAATCCGCTTTAAACCTACAAGGCATGATTTCAGCGTTGGGGTGAAGGGTTCAGAGAACTCTATTCACCCTCCTAAAAAAAAAAAAAAAAAAAAATTCCCTATTTTCTGAATCCTTTCTGTCAGCTAATCCTCTTTTAAAATGCAAATTTTTCCTCCAAGCCACCTGTGGATGTTAGTCATTTACACCTTGGTGTTATTGAGTTGATTTAAATCACACTAATTTCCTTGCAGAGATCCTGACCGAAAGGTTGTTTTGAAGTTTCAGCCCTGCTAGAGTAAGCCGACTTTAGGAGAGGTTTCTTAGGAGGGGAAGAGACGGGTTAGAAAACAAATTTTTCAGCCGTTATAGCTAAACTTTCTTGCATTATCTCCTTTAGTCCTCAAAACAACTCTATAAGGTAGTTAGGACTATTTTATGCTCATTTTACACCTAGAGCAGCTGAGGCTTAAAGAAAGGAAGGGAGCTGTAAGGTGGCAGGGCTGGGATCATTCTGATCTGAAGATCTTCAGATACCCTTCTAGGTCCTCTGCTTGGTCCGTGTCAGCCATGGTCGCTTGTGGACTAGCTGGGAGGGAGTGCTGGCCCAGAGATGGGAAGGAGAGAATTGGCTCTTGAGTCATCCTATTTCAGGCAGAAAGAAGGCTTGCATACCTGCTCTATCTTCCTTCTGGCTTACATCCAGTTTGCAAAGTTGTCTATTAACCCAAGGGATTCACAGCAACCCCAGGAGGCAGGCCTTGGAGTTACAGCCCATTTTAAAGATGCTGCAACATTAAAGCCTTCCCAGCCACACAGCTACTGAATAATGAGAAACCAGGAATTCTAATTCTATATTGTTTCACCCAGTCTAAGCTGATCCCTATGTATGCCATGTACATAACCTAATGTAAGGGAATGAGATGATATACTTACTTTATGATAGATTTTTGTCATTTGGTTTCCATTATTTCATTAACATAATCCTCATTAAGTACTCCAATTTAAGAGTCATGTGTACGTTAAAGAATTTAAACAACTTGTTTTATTGTGAATGGAAAGAAGGAAATGACGCCACACAGAACAAATTATTTTACGCAGTTTCTGAATACTTTGAAGAAACATATTAAAAGAAAAAATACATTAAAGTGCTTTGTGATCCACCATACCATAAATAGGATTTTTTCCTGGTATTGTTTTTAAGTTCCAAAGGACAGAATTAATTTTTATACCTGTCAGCACACCATTAGAATCAGGTGTAACAAAAAGGCATCATTGAATAATGAAGTAAAATCACTGCTTTTAAACAACAAAAAGCAATAAATAAATAAAGGAAGGAAGAATTGGCATTTTGTTTCCTAAATCAGCATAGTAATCATATATCTATATTTTTCTGATAGTATTTTTTTTTTTAAACACTTGGGCAAACTTTAGTACCTTTTTTTTTTTTTTTGGCCACACCACGTGTCATGTGAAGTCTTAGTTCCCTGACCAGGTATTGAATCTGGTCCCTAGGCAGTGAGAGTGTGGAGTCCTAACCACTGGACGGCCAGGCAGTTCCCCTGGTAGTATTCTTGATTAAAAAATATTATGAATTTAAAATTTGGTTCATAAAATTAGTATTTGGGGCTTCCCTGGTGGCACAGTGGTTGAGAGTCCGCCTGCCGATGCAGGGGACACGGGTTCGTGTCCCGGTCCGGGAAGATCCCACATGCCGTGGAGCGGCTAGGCCGGTGAGCCATGGCCGCTGGGCCTGCGCGTCCGGAGCCTGTGCTCCGCGACGGGAGAGGCCACAGCAGTGAGAGGCCCGTGTACCGCAAAAAAAAAAAAAATAGTATTTGTCTATAAAAATTCAAAATGTCAGATTAAGCATTTTTAACATTTAAAATTCAGGGAAGGGGATGGAATAACTAAAATGTGTGCAACCAAGTTCAGCTGAATGGACTTACTGTCAAATACACAGGAGAATTTATAAGAATTTGTAAGAAGAGGCTTTAGTAACAGTTATAACCCTTTTTGCTCACCAAATAAACCACCCAGGAGAAAAATAATCCTACAAATGTGATTATAAATCATGAAGTTTAAATCAGATTCTTTAAGTACTATATATCCACAAATAGTAGAAACTCAAATATCAATATAATAAATGTAGAAAAAAATTTAGACACAGCTCACCCTTTGACTAAATATATTTAGAGGTAAAATTTTTCTTTTGTCAACTGGTTCTAATAAAACACAAGATCACAGAGGAAAAGACTTTGAGGTTTGACTATGTAAAATTTTTAATATTTTAACACACATAATGGCAAAAGACAGGGAAAAACTGGGGGAAATATTTTGTGCATAACTGTATCCTTAAAATACAAAGAGCTCATATAAATCAATTAGAATTTCAACCTAATGAAAAAATAAGCAAGGGACATGACTATCAGTTTATAAAAGGAGAAATAGGGACTTCCCTGATGGTGCAGTGGTTGAGAATGTGCTCCCAATGCAGGGGGACCGGCTTTGATCCCTGGTCAGGGAACTAGATCCCACATGCATGCCGCAACTAAGAGTTTGCATGCCACAACTAAGGATCCTGCCTGCTGCAACTAAGACCCAGTGCAACCAAATAAATATTTTTAAAGTATATAAAAACTATTTTAAAAAGGAGAAATAGAAATACCTCATCAATCACTTATAAATTAAAACACTCATTCAGTCAACAAATATTTATTGAGCACATGCTATCTGCCAAACACTAATTTCAGCACAGGATATATCACTGGACAAAAGAGACAAAAATCTTTGTTTTAGGAGAGCATGTATTTTAGTGAAGGTTAGAGGGAGATAGGCAAAGTGAATAAGGAAATTATATAATATGTCAGAAGGTAATAAGTACTCTCACATTAAAATTATGGGAGAAAGATGAAGAATGTTTTAAATAGACTGGTTGTTGACACTCTCACCAAAAAGGTCACTTTTCAGCAAAGATGTAGGAGGTAAGGGAGCTAGCCATGCAGATATCCTTGAGGAAAATATTTCAGGCAGAGAACAGCAAGTGCAAAGGCCCTGAGGCAGGAGTGCATTGGCATGTTTGAATAAGAGCAGAGAAGTCAGTGTGTCTGACATGGGTAAGTGGAAGAGTTATAGGAATTGCGATACAAAAGGTTACAGGGACAGAAAGGTTACTGTTCCTATAGTACCTTGAAAACAATTACAGGGACTTTGATTTTGCTTTTTACTCTGAGATGAGAAACCACTGGAGGTTTTGAGCAGAGGAATGACATGACTTGACTTACCTTTTTAAAGGAATCCTTTGGCTGCTGGGCAGAAAATAAACTGTTAAGGCTTATGAAAACTCCAGCAAATGAAAACAACAAGGTACATTTTTCATTCATGAGATTAGCAAGTATTTTTTAAAACAGGTTATGAAACAGCATGTATGCTATGACTACATTTGTGTAACCATAACTGTAGGTAATATTCTTAAGTTATGCTAAAAACTGAGGTAATTTATCTGGGAGATTTATAGTAAAGGTCACATTGACAGACAACTGTTGCTTTGATACCTTTGTCCTATGGAAGAAGCATGGCCTCAGAGGTTAGGCAGGTCTGAATTTGAATAACACTGTCACTTACTCTTGTGTGATCTTTAATAATTTAATTAGCTTCTCTGCCTCAGGTTCCTCATGAGTAAAATGGAAATAACGATGTCCTTGTTTTAGCTCCTTTAGTTTACTTTAAGGATTAAACAAGAGAATCCATGTAAAGCCCTAAGCATAAAATAAGGCCAAGCAAATATTAGTCTTTCTTGACCTAAATATTAGACCTTGTTACATACTCAATATCCACTACTCACTTCCTTGTTAACCAAACAAGGACTTTAGTTCAGGAATCCTCCCCTCCCAGGGAAGGTGATCCAATCCCAGCTTGGGAGAAAAGCCTGATTTTCAGTCAGTTGTGTCCCATGGCCCTTGCCAGGGATCCCTTTAGGTGTGAGCAGGTCTCCTACAGACCTGGCCATTGAGACTTTGAGACCTGAGGGGACGTCAGCTGGGTGGCTTTGGGGAAATTTTTCCCCACCTTGAAAAGAGACTCACCAAATAAGGCTCTCTTCCACTGGATCTTGTCATGCCTAAATGTGGTTCC